TAAAATTATTATTTTTAGGCTCTGATACCAGATTTTTATACTTAAAATTATTATTTCTAAGTGGTCTATTAACTTTCAGGCTCTGATACCAAATTAAAAAAAATAGGAAAACCCGTAAAAAAATCTTGTATCAGAGCCTATAAATAATAATTTTAAGTAAAAACGTTATTTTTATAATAAATATAAATTTAAGGACTAAAATGTCAAAAAACTATAGTCAGAGGACTAACTGTTCTCTAACAGAATAGGAAGTTTTCCGTTATCTTTGACCAAGTAGATGAAATTGAAATGAATCTGAAAGTTAATAGACCACTTAGAAATAAAACATAGTTTTTAAACTAAAATGAAATTAAGGTGATAGTTAATAGACTAAAAATTAAATTAAGCCGTAAAAATATGCAGAGAGTTGGCTTAAGAAAATTGCAGCTGGCTCTGGGAAGCAAAAATGCAAAGAGCCAGCTGCAGATTTTTTTAAGCCGGCTTTACAGGCCAGAAATTTAACTACTGTTTTGGCATGCGCAGAAAGTGGAAGAAGAGCTGGCTCCAACTTTGTAGCCGGCTGTGAGGGTGTATTTAATGCACAATGGTCGAGTTATTTGAAGATTATTTAATATGTTTAAAGTTGGAATCCTAAAGCCGGCTCTAGGCTTTGCAGCCGATTGTGGAAGAAAACAGAATATGCAGGAATCCTGCAAAGCCGACTGCAGAAATGGTGAGCCAACTGTACAAAGCCGATTCTAGGAAGCTGAGCTGGCTCTCTTGACAATCCTGCAACTTGAGCTTTGCGTCTTGTAGAGCATTAAATGACCCCTAACGACTAGTAATGGCTATTTTCGACCATAGGGTTATAAATATGGTTGGTAGAAGATCTGAAAGAGGTTTAGAGAGTATTGTATTGAATATCTTTACCTACCTACATGAGCTTTAACTTGAGTGTTTGATCTTTGAGAGATCTTTACATGTAATCCTCTTCTTGTTCTATTTGTGAGTGATCTTGGGGGTGTGATTATTCCTTTAAGAGTGATCTATTGAGAGGATTTGTGGGGTTTACATTGTAAAGGGGTGAGGTTTGAGAGAAATACTTATCTTCTTGTAAAAGGATTGAGTGGCTCCTTTAAGCCACCTTTGTTGTTGTTAGTGGAGAGTGTGGAGGAAATCCTTGGTGAGTGAAGCCAAGGTAGAGGATTAGGCTCCAAGTGGTTGGACCGAACCTCTATAAATCATTGAGCAAGCTCTTCTTCTCTACTCTCTTTAATTTTGGTTTTGTGGTTGCAAAAATGGGTGAATTTTTGGAACTCCAATTCACCCCCCCTCTTGGAGTACATTGAGTCAACATGTGATCCACTAAGCATGGACTCAACTGAGCTATACTTCAATCTAGAATGGGAGATTCCTTGGTTTGAAGTGGGCATGAGATTCACAAATGTAGATCAGTTTAGAGATCCTATCAGAAGATACTTTATTGTCAAGAGATGCAAGTTAAAAACCTATAAAAAATGAGCCCCAAATGTAGAGATATCACTGTACAGGTGCAAGCTGTGAATGGGAGATTTTTGCTTCAATGGACAATAAAAATAAATGCATTCGAGTGAAGACATACACAAGACAACATACGTGTGTTAAGACAAGTCAAATTCCAATGATGACACAAGACCAACTTGTAAAATACTAGAAAAAGAGGATCAAGGAAACTCCTTTTCTAAAAAGCAAGTACATGATAAAGCAGACTTATGCAGAGTTGAGGGTTGCTGTCCATTTTGAAAATTGTGTGAAGGCTAAAAGAATGGTTGTTAAAGAGTTAAGAGGAAATTTTAGGGATGAGTATGCAATGCTTCCTGGTTATGCAACATACTTGTCAAGTCTTAATCCTAGTAACACAATCATAGTGGAAAGTGAGAGGAATGAAAATGGTTTAGCTATATTCAAAAGGTTTTATTGCTACTTAGGGGTATTAAAAGAAGGGTGGAAAAATGGATGCAGACCTTTCTGAGGAGTGGATGGTTGTTTTCATAAAGGAGTTTGTAATTATCAACAGTTGGTAAAGATGGGAACAACCAAATGTACCCCGTGGCTTGGGCTATTGTGGATGCTGAAAACATAGATAATTGGGAGTGGTTTTTCAAGTTGTTAAAAGAAGATTTAAAGTGTAGGCTCTGATGTGGATTTCACTCTAATTTTTGATGAGCATATGGTATGATATATTCTTTCTTTTTTTTTTTTGGTAAACTTTTTTTATTTTGTTTAGGTGATAATATCCTAACAAATTCTGGTATGTCTTTTAGGGAATTCGTAATGCCAGTGCTACTATATTTTCTAATCAAGAGCATAGGCATTGTGCTCGGCATATATACTACAATCTTGCCAAGAGAAATAGGGATTTGGGTGATGAACTAAAAATTGCATTTTGGAATGCTGCAAAGGCTACATTTCCGCATGTATGGAGAGATATGATGCAAAAACTAAGGAATTTGTCAGAGGAAGGTTATGCTCAGCTAATGGACAAGGATGGTAAGTATTGGTCAAAGGCTTTTATTGATCCTCATTCCAAATGTGATTCTATTTACAACAACATGTCAGAAACCTTTAACTCATGGATTCTTAAAGCAAGGTGCAAAGCACCAATTAGCATGAATAAGCAAATAATAGAAATGTGCATGGAGAGATGTAGGGATAAAAAATTTAGTGTTGCTAAGTGGCCTATTGATGTTTCCCCTAGAACTAGGAAAAAGCTCAAAGAACACTTTGACCATGCTAATGCCTGTGGAGAAATATGGAATGGGGTCACTTAATTTTAGATTTATGATGGGAAGACTACATTTACTCATGTTGTTGATTTTAAGGATCGAACATGCACTTATAGAGTTTGACAATGTAGTGGAGTTCTTTGTGCACATGTTTTGTGCGCCATAATCAACCACGGTTGGAATGTTGATGACTATGTTCGTGAATACTTTAAAAAAGAGAAGTTTTTAGCAGCTTATGACACCTAATTAGAATGCAACAGAGGTGAGGAAGTATGGAATAATGTTGACAAGGAGGAAAAGTTGCTTCCACCAATTATGAAAAGCATGCCTAGTAGGCCAAGAAAAAATAGGAGAAAATCGAAGTATGAGCCCAAGAAGGTCAAAATGCGAAAGAAAAAGTGCAAAATCTCAAGAAAAGGAAGCATTGTAATGAATTGTAACATTTGTGGACAAGAAGGCCATAATAGGAGAAGATGTCCATTCAAAGACAGAAAAGAATATGCCAAGTTTGCTAATGAAAATTTAGGGACCAATTCTGCAACTATAAAAGATGTAAGTGCATATTAGTTATTTAGTAGTTTAACTTAAAATTCTTATAATAGTGTGTTGTTTCAGAATTTTCATGTGCTGTTCTTTTAGGTTGGTAACCATATTGGGTCATCTTCAAAGGGAAGCAGAAAGAGAAGTAACAATAATGAAGGGCAAAGTGCATATACACCCGAAAGTGCGAGGATAGTGAAAAGACCTAAGTCAAATGTCATAAATTGGGTTGTTGTCAAGGTTCCAGAAGGGGATGGTCTATTCATTGATAATGCCACTGGACTACAAATTCTAAATGTGAGTAAAGTTAAGTGTACTAGCTAATTCTAATTTGTAATATTGGTTTATGTTTGTTTCTAATTATTACATGTATGCTAAATATAATTGCTTTTACTAATGGTTCATAATGTTCTTGTAGCTTGGGAAAAAGGGAAAGCAGCAGTTTATATCAAGAGGAAATCAAAACACAAAATATAAGGTGCAAAAGGATAAAAAGCAGAAAAATGATTGAATGACAATGATAAATAAAACTTTTAATTTAATTTAAGTTATTATAAATAATAATGATTATGATATATGTTATTCATATAAGTTTTTGTTACATTTTTGGTTTATGGTTAAGATAAATTTTAAGGATATAGACAAGTTTTTATTATCTTTTTGGTTAATAGATTAGAAGATTGCATTTTTAATTTACTATGAAAAACCCAAACAAAAAAAAAGAAAAAAGAAGCAACACCACAAGTATATTGACACAACCTTTTTGGGTGTCGACACAAGGCAATAAGATTTTGTAACTATCATGGTATGGAAAAACTAGTAGCAAAAGTCTCGACACCAACATTGTGGTGTCGACATGCCAACCAGTTCTGCCTATGTCATAGAAAACTCGCTGAGTTGTTTGCGTAATAATCAAAGTGAATGGCCAACTCATAAAAAATAGTCCACCCATGCGCAACATCACTCAGTGGATCCCACTCGGATGCAAACCTCCATTAGTTTCAAGGGTGGTGCCATTGGATAACATTTTTGTCTCACATTTTTATACAACTTCTACATGTCATTAAATGAGTGGATGCATTCAATATTATGGATTCCACATGAATTAAAAAAATCAATTATTTTAATGACACATCAGGTGTACAAAAAGGTGAGACAAAAAGGTTATACAAATATCATTTTCCTAGTTTCAAATAACTTGATAATGGTAAGGGCTTATTTAACACCTTTCAGAAGTATAAGATGGGGGGTATGTCTATTTTGGGTTGAAGGGCTTATTTAACACCAATTAACAAGTTTGAGGGTTAATTTACATGATTCACTGATATCTGCCATATACTTATCTTTCTAGTGTTTTTTGATTGGGTTTAAGTACCATTTTGGTCCCTTAACTTTTTATTTTAGTACTAAAATTGTCCCTCAGCTTTAAAAAGTACCAAAATTATCCTCAAACTTTTATTTTCGGTACCAAAATAGTCCTTCCGTCAATTAAATGACAGATGGCACGTTAAAATGCCAGCAAATCAATTCTTTTTTTTCTTAACTAATGACATGGAAAAAAAAAACATAGTTGGCATTTTTTTTATGAACTGGCATTTTTATTTAATTTAAAAATAATAATTCTTTTTTTTTTTCAACCACATCAGATTTCTTCTTCCTCTTTCATTTTCTCTCCTTTACCTTTCCTTTTCTCTTACCTCTGCAAACCCAGATCTGGGTTTTCTCTCAAACTTCATCTTCTTCCTTCTTTCCTCCTGTCACGCCCCAAAACCCAAATCTGAGGCGCGACAGACGCCGTACACTCGTGAAACGGGTCCCACAAGTGCACAAAGCTCGGAACTTATCATATCACAATCTGATACCACCAAAATCTGAAGATCAAATCTTTAAAATTTCTCCGATATCATAAATCTCCAAATACACTCTAGCTTACAAAATCACGATTTATTTCTAAAATCTATATCAATCTCGAAATGGCTAGCTTTCTAACTCGTCACTTCCCGTAGTTTCCCCGTCCTCAGTTTCACTTCCTGAAATGGTGGACAAGGAAAACTATGAGATAAACTCAGTAAGTAAAATATGGATTGCCCTTAATTAAACTTATAGCATGCCAACATGTGCAATCACGAAAAACGGATACAATACGGGAACGAATTAGACGTCTCCTCTATAGGTCACGGCCAGCGTCTAACACCCACTGGCAGGCGCACTGTTTGCTGGTGTATAATCCCCACAAGCAGGGTCACTCAACGAACCGGTTCTATCAATAACATGTCAACATGTGCTAGTGTTTATAACCTCCCCCACTAGCAGGGTTACGAATAACATATCGACATGTGCCGACATGTGCTAGCGTTTATAACCTCTCCCACTAGCAGGGTCACTAATAACATGACCACATCGGAGACAAAACAGGCAGAAGTTAATAGGAAAATCACAATTCACAATCACTTTCAGATCATCAGGACAGTCACTTAAATTTCAAGTAGGCATGCTCAATTTAATGAAAAGCATAAAACATTTCACTTCAAATCAGTCATACTTGTGTAAAACGGGTTTAGTCCCGCCACCACTTCAAAAACAAATCAAAACATGCTTTTAAAACCATACGGGCATTACCATAAATTTACTTACCTCACTCGCATAAACTGAAGATTCAATCTCAATGCTAACTGACAGAACGATCGGAAATCTAATCAAAATATCCACAATTAATCATCGTATCACCACAAATTCAAACTGAAATTATCATTAGGATCACCCCTAATCTCGATGCTATTCCTATCAATCTCCACATGATCAAATATCTCCAAATTCGTTCTTATATCACAAACTAATCACTTAAATCCCCGTTAATTGTTGACTCTCGGGGTGTGAACAGTGTTACGTGAATAGTGACATGAACAGTGTTCTGTGAACAGTGTTCTGTGAACAGTACCACGACGTGAACAGTACTCTAACTTCCAAAAATTGGCCAAAACACTAGCTAATTCACGGGATTTTCTCCAAAAATCACACAGCAGACAATTAACACTCAATCATATAAATCCCACTTGAATTAAGCT